AATCGTGCTTCACATTTTACTTTCCTCATTTACACTCGACCCTCTGAACTGTGAAGCAGCTCCTCTGGTCTCCTTAAGGACCGCCTCCTTTCTTCTGATTGGCCAGCTCTAGGAAGCCTGCACCCAGAGCTTGTGAGCAGTATTTAGAGTTGCCCGAAGCACTTTTACATACGTTTACCTCCTTAGTTCGAGCTTTGGTCACGTTGGATGAGAACATTTGTGGCATTTTATATGTGACAGAAAATAAGACGAAGCACGAGAGGTTGAAACACTTTAAAATGTACACGCAGTGAATTTCTGAATCTCGGCTTCAGATGCCGTAAAAACAGAACGAATGATCAAGTGTTAAGCTCAGAGTCGGTTTATTTCATTAGAACGCTTTGTTCTACGCGTCTCCTTTAAAAAACTGCTAAAAATAAACCAGTTTCCTTTAAACAGATTCTGTAGAAAACGAAATTCTTCCGTCAGCACAGTTGAGAAACCGCGAGTGAGTCAGTCGGACGTCGGACCTGGAAGCAGCTCGTTGTTCGTCCATCGGAGGTTGTGTGTTGTCATGTTCAGGGTTGTGTGTTCTGGCTGACGGTCGGAGGCTTTAAAACAGTTTCTACTTCACCACATGTGGTAGTTACAGTCCAGAAGTCTTCATTCAACCAGATAGCTCGTTAGAGAACGACTCCATTTATCAGCCAGTGAAAAGGTTCCTGTCCTCTGATTGGCCAGTTGCTGTCAGGTGAGCGGCGGTCAGTCGGGTTGAAGTTCAGGTCATGTGTGTGAGGTTCAGAACATCTTAGCCCAGTTAGCTGATCCACACCAGAGCAGCTCTGAGCTGCTTCGGCATGCAGACAGGAAACCAGGTGACGGAGCTCTGAGATCAGGAGTCAGATTTTAGTCCCTCACAGGGGATTTCTGTACGTCCATGTAAAGATCTCTGCTCTGTAGATGGTCGTCAGCACCTCCAGGGTTTCTCCAGCGTCTCCACAGATTAGTTTCTTCAGGATTTATTCAGATTTTCAAATATAATTTTCAAATATCCCAAAGTTTTGAATAATCAGTTCCTTGGTTTCGTGTTGTTTCACCACATTTCCTGTTGGTTTGTTTTTCTCCTGATTGTCACCAAGATTTACTTTCCCCGATAAATATCCCCCTTCTTGATTTTTTTAATAAAGTTTTATCTTGATTTTGTTTAAGATTTTTTTCAGACTTCATTAGTTTTTTTTTTCCTTTTTCCTTCACGAGTCCTTGAACATTTCCATGAATTCCTTTAAAAATATTTTCCTTTTTAAAACCTTTTTTTTTTGTAGATTTCTTTCAGGAGTTTTTTTTCATGTCGCTGCATTTTGTGAAAGATTTCTTTTGATTTTGAATTCTGTCGATTTTGTTCAAGGTTTCTCTGCATTTTCTGGACATTTTAAAGCTGAAGCTTCTCCTGGTCCTGGAGAAACCATTTCCTGTTTTGTTTATTTACTAATCGGCATATTTCCACTCGTTTTCTTTGGACTCGGGTTTAGATTCCTCGAGTTTCTCTCGGTCTGGTCCGTCGGCGGAGGAGAAAGTCGATAAGACGAGACGAATCTTCACTGATCACAGCAGCAGATCAGATAAAACCTGTTTTCAGAGCCGCTCCACAGCAGCAGACTTTCAGTGAGAAACGAGGCCGTGAGTCGAGGTTTTAATGCGTTTAAACCAGGGGTGTCAAATCCTGGTCCTCAAGGGCCGCAATCCTGCATGTTCTAGATGTTTCCTTCTTCCAACACACCTGATTCAGATGATCAGCTCATCATCAAGCTCTGCAGAAGCCTGATAAGGATCCTGATCATTTGAATCATGTGTGTTGGAAGAAGGAAACATCTAGAACATGCAGGACTGCGGCCCTCGAGGACCAGGACTGGACACCCCTGCTTTAAAGTGTCGCCGCTGAGCTGAGCTTCACTAAATCACTGCACCTTCAGATCGTGACTCTGACCTCAGGTGACGCCGCATGATGGAGGCCGACGACGAGTCGACCTCGAGTCGCCGTTAAACCGACCGAACACGTCCAATGAACACGTCCTCGGGTGTCAAAGAGAAGAAACCTGAACATTAACAACCTGGACTTTAATCAAAATGATCTGCATCAATCTGTTTGAGTTAAAATCCCCTTAAAAGCATCCCGTTGGAAATAAACATGAAAAAAAAGATGTAATATGTTTAAAACGTGTGAACTTAAGAGTAAATATGTGTAAAATAGTTCTACGTTTAGCAGTAAAGCAGTTTAATTTGATCCTCACATGTTGTAAAAGGACAAATTACGCATTTCTGATGACATTAATTACAGCTTCAACCTGTTTATTTAAATATATTTATATATTATTTATTTATATATATATTTATTTTAATATTCTCGATATCTTGTGTCAAACACTTTCTTCTGATTGGTCAGGATCAGGAAGCCTGCCCCCAGAGTTCGTGAGCAGCATTTTTTCCACTCGTTTACATTAATAATTAAAACTTTGGACACGTTTTATTAGAACAACCAGCGCTATGAAATTATAAACGCGACAGTAAATGTAGAAAAGCGTAATAGATCTGCTCTGAAGTGTTTGAAATAGCATTTATGGAGCATTCCTCAATGTGCTGCTGGTTTGTAAAAGCTGCTTCAGTCGTAGGATTTTGTTTGTCCGTTGCATTAGACGACGTTTTTTAGAATCGTGCTTCACATTTTACTTTCCTCATTTACACTCGACCCTCTGAACTGTGAAGCAGCTCCTCTGGTCTCCTTAAGGACCGCCTCCTTTCTTC